GAGTGAGCACACTTATTTGCCCCAATAACGGTAATTCGGGTGATATTCTTGACATCTTCCTTTCTACCATCTCACTGTCTTTTAGCCTGGAGGTCTTACAGGATCTAGACTCGGATCACTGCCCAGTCATTGCGACTCTTGGCACGACTAAAGAAGTCATGGAAGAGCTTATCAATACAACGAACTGGAGGGAATATAATGAAATACTCTCTGAAAGTCGCACAAACCTTATGCTACGCACTCCCGATGACATAGAGCGTGCTGCGAGGCAGCTGACGACAGATATACAAAACGCTTATGACGCAGCCACCAGAAAGATTCCAAGAAAGCATATCACAAATAAACTACCGATTCGAATTAAAAATCTTATCAGAGACAGGAACAAGATCAGAAAGAGGTTTCACCTTACCTATGACCCGAACACAAAGAAAGACATGAATAGGCTCAGTAGAGAAATCAAAAAACAGATCAGTATTTACCGTAAGGATCTATGGGACGAAAAGATAGAAAGCTTTAATGAGCCAAGTAATTCTTTTTGGTCTTTTGTAAGACGTTTAAAAAATAAGAATACGGTAAACAGACCAATTTATCATGAGCATGGGATTGCACTTACAAATAGTGAAAAATGTAACACGCTTGCTGAACATTTTGAAAAGCAGTTTACCCAGAACAAATCACCATCTAATCAGGATTTTTCTACCTTAGTAAACTTCACAGTTTCTAACTGGATGGATAACTATAATACGCAGAGTCATCTTGAGCTCACTTCACCCCAAGAAATACTCAGCATCATCAAAAAACTCAGGAACAGGAAGGCCCCTGGGCAGGACAATATAAATAATGTGGCACTTAAATGGCTGCCGATTAACATGGTCAACAGGTTCACAGGCATTCTAAACGCTTGCCTTTATAACAGTTACTTTCCGCAAATCTGGAAATCTGCTAAGATGATAGTATTCTCTAAACCGGGAAAAAAATCTTACGAAAACAGAAGGGTACAGGCCCATTAGCCTGTTACCCAGTATGGGTAAAATACTAGAAAGAATTATCCTTAGCCGTATTCAGCCTCACATGGATAAGCTACCTCTAGAACAATTTGGTTTTAGAAAAGCACTTTCCACGACTAAACAGCTAGTTCGACTAAACGAATTCATTGGCAGTGCACTGCACAACAAGAGATATGTTGCCTTACTCATGCTAGACGTGGCGAAGGCGTTCGACCGCGTCTGGTATGAGGGGCTTATTTATAAGTTAATCAGCTTTAAGTTCAGTGATGCGCTGATTAAAATTATTTATTCTTTCCTGACAAACAGAACTTTCCACATTCAAATTGGAGAAAGTAAATCTATTATGAAAGAAGTAAAGGCCGGGGTCCCACAGGGATCTATTTTAGGGCCAGTACTCTATCTTTTCTACGTAGCAGACTTACCTGCTGAACACCTTGATCAAAACTTCTTCATGGGGTGCTACGCAGATGATACAGCTTTCGCTGTCAAGTCTGGGACACCGAATTTTGCCCTAAAGAAACTACAGAGATTTATGCCCAAGCTGGAACATTGGTGCGCCAAATGGAAAATAGCAATCAATGCTGATAAGTCCAAACTGCTAATCTTTAAGAAAAACAAGATGAATCATCCCTTGACAAAACAACTGATACTCTTTGACACTGTAGTGCCTGTTGTCAAAAGTGCTACCTACCTTGGACTAAAATATTGTTCAAATTTCCTCTGGAAAGAACATATTAACTGCATTAGAGGAAAAACTATCGAAGTCTTACGTAGTCTCACGCCGCTTCTGTCTGCGACTTCCAGATTAGATTTAAAAAGGAAAAGACATATATATATATCTATCATACGTCCTATCTTCTCATATGCCTCTCCCGCCTGGGCAACTGTTCAGAAGAAGGAGATAGACAAGTTACAAATTTTACGAAATAAAGCTCTTCGAATGATAGCTAATGCACATTATTACGTTTCAAATCACACTCTACACCGTGACTTGAAAAGGACTCCGTCGAGAAGTATTTGCATAATGCTAAACAACAATTTCTTAATAAGGCTCAGGAATGTGTACACATGACTGATCTGAATGTCTTGGATTATGTGATTCTTGATGAAGATGCTTCGTTAAGACCACTCGCGGCCCACCTCGCCAGGGACTTAAATTTCCCAACGTAAGATTTTCATGACGGGTACGCACTGCTCTTGTACATATGGTATATAGTGTAATTATTTTAATTTTTATTTTTATTTTTCAATTGTAGTTTATGTATTTCCTTTTCACGTTACAGTAGTATGTATGTAATAAAGTATGATATGTTTAATTATTATGATGTGTTTTAAATTCAGATGTCAAGATTGAAATTGTAGGTTTTTGTCTGTGTTTCTTTGATGTTCAACACAAACATTTCACACAGATCCTCACGGCTCCTGCTTTGCGAATTTCTTATTGTGCGCGCCTCTAAAGGCCTTGCGACGCATGGTCGCCCCCTGTAAGCACCTTTGACCTCTCTAAACTTGTCAAGAAACTGCAACGTCATGTGCCCTTTGGGCTTATTTTCAAGAGCCGGACAAGTTGCGCAGCCGCGCGACATTTCGGCTATAGTCGCACAGACTAGACTAGACTCTTTTCTTCCCCTTATACTGACAGCTGTAGCAAGAATGAATTCTGTGAAGGAGAAACATCCTTTTGATTTTACCACAAGTTGCTTTTTTCCATGGTATTGTTGCCTACTGAAAAGCAATTTTCAAAAAAGAGAGACTTTTCATTTCATTGTTCCCTTGTCATAAAAGTATCTTTCACCGAGCCCAAACTTGCCTTTAAACCACGATTACTAACAAAGAGTATTTTTATTATTATTTATTTTTCTACTTTTGTCTTACTTTGAAATTAATTTTCAGTGTCCCTTAAAGAGAGTGTCCGTTAATAAGAGGTAAATAAATTAAGGTCATTATTCAAAGAGACCGAAACTAACAGTATTGTCAATTAAACAGAAATGTCTCTTGTTCGGAGGTGTCTCTTACAGGAGGTATTACTGTATACATGATGGATCTTCAAACTGAAATTTGATATCAAAAGTTTAAATTTTTGTATGGTCGTTAAAATTAGACTGAAATTGGACTTATAAAAATACTGTTGGGTGCGTACGGGTTCGTTATGAAATGAATTCACAAGTCCGATGAAAAATGAACAAAAATTTATTATTATCACAACAAAAATGCTTAAATTTTCTCAAATAATCGTGCAGTATTACAATATCTCACAGAAGTTACCTTCTAACTACTCAAATGTGCAATAGAACGTAATTCAAAACAGCTAAAGAACGCTAATCCACGAATTCACTACAATCAACAAGAGCAATTTTCTAAACAACAACAAACTAAGCAACTTCTACAAACTGAAATGTTTCCCCCCTTTTATAAGATTTTAAAATCACGCGCTAGAATTTTCCAGTACTTTCTCGAAATCAAAAAGAGATATTTATTTATTTAATGCACGCGCTCTTGTATTTTCAATTTTCCCGCTTAGCTTTCTTTTAATATTCGTCACGCGCTGCACTGCGCGAGAAATAAAACCATTTAATTTATAATTGAACTAACATTAGCTTTTTAAATACCAAATTCGTAACAATACTATGCATTTCAAAGGATTCTAAGGAGAGTCTCCAGAGATACATAGAAGTTTCCCATAAATCTAGCATTAGTCTAAATTTTAATGTGCCTATTAACGTGCTTTCCATTTATATTGTTGGATACGTACGGGATCGTAATAAATTGAATTTCACAGGCCCGATGATAGGTTAATAAAATAAATTTTTATCAGAAAAACACTTCAAAGTTCTGAAATTTTCCATAGAAATACTCGTACAAGTGTTCACATACAATCAATAGTTACGCTTCAAACTAATAAGAACGTTAAACATAACTCAGTGTAAAACGCACCCAAAGAGAAAGCTAATACGAAGATATCTTAGTTCACGCTGAACTAACAACTCGGCCGCTGAGACAAACCGGCCGCTGAGATATTTCTAGTACTTTCTGTTTCTCGACAATATGAGAGTCGAATTACAGTTGCAACTAATATAGTGGTAAATTACATTTATTCAATTACGTACGGGAAATAATAATAATAACAATACCTGTTGCGGGGATGCAGGGATCGGACCAAAATGTCGCCAATTTTGACGACTTTTGGCGATTTCTAGCCAAATTACCGAGACACCCAGTTTAAATGGACTTGCCCCTGTAATGGTACTTTTCCCGCATATCTTATCTCTTTTACACTTTTCTTGAAAAACAAAACAATTTCACATATACTTGTACTAAAAATCATCTATATATTACAAAATTTGTCCTTGTGTTAAACACCACCACTAAAAAGGCAAAATTTAAGATTTATATCAAAGGTATACTTAAAAATCATCGATATAATTTTCCTCAAACTACGCCTGACAAAACTAAACTTCGTATTCAAAAAAGCTTGTGCCTTTAATGCAAAGTTTTAGGCTGCAGTGCTCCCCCACCCCCAAGGGAAAAAAATACTGCATTCCTAGAATGTTAGGTTTAAAAATTTATATTGAAATTAACTGAAAGAAGCTCGCTACACAAATCATTGATTCTATTTTCTTTGGAAAGAATGTTTTTTGATTGCACCGAAAAATTTACATTTTGTGCTAAATAAATTTATATTTTATATTAAATTTAAGATAATAATATACAATCGTCATTAGGAATTCATGTCTTAAATGTGTAACAAAATCTGACAGTTTCAGTTCAACAATTTTTTATTTTGTGAAATATTCACAGAAGAAAGTTTAACCTTAAGTAAAGTAAGTTCATTGTAATCTCTCTGATATGTATATAAATCTTATGTTGTTATAACACGACGTAAAAAATTCTATATAACATTAAGAAACCTCTATCATGAATTATTACTTTCAAGATACAGAACCATTTCAAGATACAGAACAATTAAATTAATTTTAAATTTCCCGTTTTTAGGTGCCTGTAGTAGCTCTGGCTTTTTCACTGGTTGGAAAGAAACACTGTCTGCGGCTATTAGGTGGGGACACTCATGATCTGGAAGGCAAATTGAGTAAGGAGTATCAAAATATGGGAGGTAAGTGGATATCCTGATGGATACTTCATAAAATAATATGTATGTCGTGAAACTTCGTAGTGAATTGTAAGATTATAGTTTTTTACAATTTTCGTTTCTTATTTCTTCGAATAAATTAAGAGAAAAAATAATGTGAAATAAAGAATTTAATAAAATATTGGTCTTCATATTTCACTTCATGTATTTGAAGGGAAAAAAAGGGCAAATTTCAATTCTGAATAATTTAGCCATGATCGTTGCAACTCAAAATTAATTATTTAATCCTTATAGACATTGTAAAGTGAAGCTAAAACTCAGGTTAACAGGGCACAGTGTTAAGTCGCCAGAATTTACAAACTTAATTAGGTGATTTGTAACAAGCAAAATTCAAAAGTCACCAAAAGCTTATGCGGCGGCCGCTGTCGACAAATACAAATTACCGATACAGCATATAAAAAACTTGAATAAACATGAACTCAAATTCTGAGATCATCTTATAAACAACTTCATTACAATTCGCGTCAGTCATTCTAGCGACAAAAAATTTCGAATGGCATTTAGATAGCAACAAAATAGTGATTATCGTAGTGAACTCGGAGAAATTCTCTTAAATACTGTTACGAAATGCCAACTGCAGCGAGATAGTTTCCCCGCAAAATGGGGTTAGGGTTGCCAGACAGTGGCACTAAAAGGCAGGGTTGCCACATTTGGAGCGAAATTCCCCATTTGGCAACAAAATTGGAGATATGCCATAGACGGAGCGAGAATATTCTAGAACACAATCTTAGCGGTTTTCTCGGGTATATTCTCGAGAAGGTAGGTTAAAACCATATATATATATATACCCGCCTATACGCGAAGTAATAGAAGTAATGGTTTCTTGAGTTCAGCGGTTAACTTGAGAGCGAGCAACCGATTTTAGAGCTGCACTTTAGTGCTTTGCCGTGAAGCTGTCTTCCACGTTATAGCCTGAAGGGTGTGTTGCTAATTGTTTCAGCGTGTTTCTCGTAGTTTTTTTTGATGACTCATAACGTGTCCTTGGAACTCTCCTGTGTAATACTGGCTAATAAACTGTGTTTTGATTCTTCGTCAAGTGTTGTCATCAATTGCTCCAGATCCACGAAACCGTCGAAAGCAACAATACGAATCTAAATTACGACTTACAACTCTGTTGTGTTACTTATTGCGCCATTTTTCTGAATTGAAAGATCTTTCGGTGTTTTGAGTACGATGGTAAGGTACCGTAATATGGAAAACACTCCAGAGTATGTTATTCTGCTGAAAAAGATTCCCAAACTTTAATCATTTTCTCAAAATTCAAAAGAAAAACCGAAATGGCAGTTAACTTAAATTCTTCTTTAGAGAAATGAAACTTTCTTTTGAGAATTACTTAGGTTACATAAAACCAGAGTTAAGATCTTACGAGTGTGTCGTGGTCAAGCTTATCCATTATTGGCGTTGAACTAGACGATAATTTTGTTTACTAATTCAGAAGTCAAACAACAAAAATCAGCGTTATATTTACAAAATTTTCACAGGACTAGTTTCGACATTTTTTTTGCAGTTTTGCAGCTGAGGATGGTGGTTCGGTAAAACCATCGAAACTAGTCCTGTGAAAATTTTGTAAATATAACGCTGATTTTTGTTGTTTGACTTCTGAATTAGTATTTATTCGGCGTGTTATTGTGTATTTATAATTTTGTTTGTCGAATTGTTCGATGGAAAAATACGTAAGTATCCTATTACATACTGATTAAGTCTGAAAGACAAATTAAATTACGTGCCAAAATTCAGAAGTCTTATGAATAGAGGAACTCGAGTGTTTAATGATTAAGGACTGAGTTCAAAATTGACTCGCAGAGTCTATAAAAAATATTTCAGACATGTAACTAACTTTCTTGAATACGTAAAAGACTTTAAAATAAATTTTTAAAAACATTTAAAAAAAGGTATTTACATACTATCACAACCATTTTAGTAGAAGTAGCCAAATTTTCAGAGTGCCAAACTCTGACAACATGTGCATAATCATTCTTCCGGCAGCCATGCTCATAGCAATTGTTTCAGCAGAGCAACGCCGCAATTTTCATATGCTTTCTCTTTTGTTGTATACCAAGTGTTCCAAATGTTTTTATTCACAAATCGTGATAATTTTTGTCTTAGTTTAAAAAAATAAGCTTGTGGAATTCGCAAGCAAAGGAAGGAACCAGGTTAAAATTTCGACATTAATACAGAATTTTGCTGAAAATTTTCTAAAGTGAACAACTAGGAAGTACGTTTCTAGATAGCCGCTGTTGCCGAAGATTTCACGAAGCCGAGACTACACAATTCTGTGATATTTCTTCAGTGAAAACAGATCGCTGTGTACTTCGGGAGAAGAATAACGCCAAGAAAAGAAAAGAAAAAAAAAAAAAAAAAAGGAAAGAAAGAAAGAAAAAATAAGAAAGATTTAAAGACGAATGTGCTTTATTTTTTTAATGTATGAGATAATAGTTATTAAATAATTCCAATTTGTATTTTAAATTGATAAACTATGTTTTCTTTTCCTATGTTAATATAGTTTATCAAACTTACTATAAATATCAATAATTTGGGAATCTTTCTAACGCGAAAACCACCACCTTGAACATGCTAAGTAATTTTTACATTTTTATTCCCCAAAAAATCGCCAAATTGCGCCAAGATGGCTGCGTTAGTACTTAAGTAGCAAAAAAACGTGAAATGAGTTTCAATATTTTTCTTGGCAGGGCTGGTTGGGGCATCTTCCTTGCAACTTCCGTTCGTGTTACATCCTTGTATCTCACAATCCGAGGATGTGACTTACACAAGTCCTTTTCTTTCTTTTTACCCTCCCTTTCATACCCTCTGTTTTATGCAAACTGTAATATGTTTCAGTAATTTATAAAAACTTATAAATGTTCCCCTCAGTATAAACTATCACTTTATGATTAATTTAAAGATTTTCTGTACATACACATAATAATATAGATAAAAACATTTATTCAGAAATTTACAAAATTTTTAAAGCAAATTCCAGTTTGCAGAGAAATTAAAGGTATAAGGGAAAAAGATGGGGGCGAGGAGCTGCATGGAAAACGAACTTTTAGAAGAACAAAGAAAGATTTTAAAAATACAATAAATAAATAAATAAAATTAAAAAATTACATATTAAATTTCATCTATTAAAATTTTTAATATGCGAAAAAACTGTATTATCATCAAGTGTCATCCGCTACAAGTTAAAAAAAATGTATTTGAACTTGAGTGGATGATCGAGTGAAAATTTGAACAAGGTGTAGGAATTAAAAAAAAATATATATACATTTTTGTAAAAGTTACAAGCAGATGTAGGTCTCGATTCCTAAATCATTGAACACGGAGCGACATCCTGTTCACGACAAATGCATAGAAGACGAATAAAAAATCTGTGGTTTTACGTGATGACAACATTTGTTAAGTCGTATGAATGATAAATGCAAGGTAACGCAGTGTAACGTAGCAGTCCAGAAAATTTGTAGAAATTCCACTAAAGACGCCTTTTAAAGTCAAGTGTTTATATTTCTCAAAATTGCATCAAGAATCATTACAAGACTTAATAGTCTGAATACACGAAATCCGAGATATCAAATGAAACTGAACAATGCATTTCTATACCCGCAGTCTGTACTGACATATTTTGCATTGGCTGAATCGTAGCAACAAAGAATGCTTCAAAGAGTCTGCTGAATCGATTTTCTATTATTGTTCCCTGAGACACAGAACGACGTTATTGCCAAAAGCTTTTTCTTCTGCCCAAAAATTCTCTATTCAGTCGTTTCTGGAATGAATAGCATTGGGAAATGACAATTCATCTATTTATGGAGCACAAGAAATATCACATGTTTGGTGAATTTATGAATAGTATAATATCAATTGATTTGTAAAGCTATAATCAATAACGTTGAGCTGCTTGCAGCCATTCTAATATATTTCATTCGTCTATACTGCTTCTCCAAGTTTATTATTTACTCTAATTGTCGTAAAAATTGGATGTTATTTCATTTTAAATAAATTTCTTTAAGCGCTAATCCCATAATTTTTCATTTATTAATGAACTGTGAAATTTTTAACAATATCAGGAAGTTAAATATTTGTTGACCTAAAGGGCGTTAGCCCAGGAAGGCTGTTAATTTCGTTTTGCATTGAAAACTTTAAATGTCGGTTCACTTTTCAAACTGTTGCCACCAAATATTACAGCCCTGTATTATATTTAAAGAAATTAAATAATGAAGAATCTGCATAATGTATATATGTTTCTCGCATTGTGATAAAACGACGGTACCTAGAGCCATCAAATTTTGAATAATGTACGTTTTCATTCGAATATGGGCATCTGGAAGCCCAAATTTGGAATTTGTTTTATAATCTATTTCATATTTTGTAAAACTTTAAAGAAATTTTTGATTAACAAACTCAAAGATTTCAAAGCGAGCAATGGCGAAGGAGGGAAAAATTATCTCCAGCGCGCGAGACTGTGTATTGGAAATTCTAGAGATATGCTCAATTTAAAACTATTTTGCGATATTGCTCTTCAACTGAATTTTATGGTTTAAGCGCGAAGAACGTGATATTTAATAAATTAAGACAACAGACAAAATGTTAAAAAAAAATGCCCATTTGGACGTCATTTAAAATCTGAAACTTTTCAGATTTTATTTTTATTTATTGATTGATTTTTTGTTTGTGAATTTATTTTAGAAAGTGAAGCTCATTGTGGCTCTGATCGAGTAATAAGAAGCCAGTTTCAAGTGACTATTGTTACAGTTCTCTCTGCTTTGTTAATGTTCTTGTATGATGGACTTCAGGTAATTTTGGAACAGATAATGTATAATATTTTTAAATAATGCGTCATATAAACAACGAGAATAAGAAGGAAATTTGAAGCACACTCGGGCTAAAGTTGTTTTTTCTACTTGCAGGCAGCTTATGGTGGTTTCATCTATTCTTATGCAGTTAAGGGCCCAACTAAGTTCCGAAAATCGGATGCAGCTTACCTTAACGCATTGTTTTGGGTAAGTGTTCCACTGATAATTAAGATTACTTGATTAAGCATTTGAATGAAATCATTTTCTATAATTTTTTAAAAGCTTTTTAAATGAACTTTCCTTAAATGTAACATCTCCTCTATGATATATTCTGTAATTATCTGAGGACTTTAGGGTTTTTTGGAAGCAGGAGAGGTGAAAATTTTCAGTCCCTCCCTGGAACTCGAATACGCACCAAGTGTGCTACCGTAACACCATGAAGGCATGCTGGAAGATGGGAGAAAATACCTTATATACTCCCCCTCTTAAACGGCGACTGGAGACCAGGAGACAGAATCGAAAAATCCTGGGGGTGGCAAGTTATTGTCCACCACTAATTCGGGCGCCATTTGTAGAATCACTGAGGCTTCTGATGTTGGAAACGTGAAAAATGGGTAATGCCCTTACAAGGACTCGAACCCTGGACTTCTCGAATACGCGTCGAGTATGCTTGCAATTACACCACGAAGGCATGCGGAAAGGAGGGAGAAAATACCTTATATTCTCCCCCCTTTTAAAGGGCGACTGGGGATTAGAAGACCCAGTCACCAAATTCACAGGTGGTGTCGAATTACTGTTCACCGCCTTTTAGTTTGAGTCCCATTTGTAGCGTCGTAAGGTTATTTTGAAACAGGAGATGTGAACAAGTAATATAAAAAATATTAATGTCAATTCCTACTTAGGCTAACAAAGAAAAATTAAAAAAAAATTAAAATACAAAAAAAAATTAAATTAAAAATTAAAAAAATGTTTAATATGTGATAAAACTGTATTAACATCAAGTGTCATCCACTACAAGTTAAAAAAATGTATTTGAACTTGAGTTGACGAATAAAAAGTATTTTATTAACGATTGAAAATTTGAACAAGATATAAGGAGAGTGTGAGTTAATAGCAGGAATTTAGAAATGGGCAGTGCCCTCGCCGGGACTCGAGCCTGGACCTCTCGAACGCGCTCCTGGTTAGCTACCGTTTGGAAGTAGGAAGAAAATACATTAGAATGAGTACGAATAAATTTACGAATTTTACGAATATAATATATCTTTCGAAATTCGATTATGTACAGCTACTTACACATTTAGGTTACCAACAATATAATTCACGTAAAATACAGTTACATTTGTTATTGTTATAGTAATACGTTCTACAATTGCTGGAAAACTGAGAAATAAACGAATACAACATTTATCGATTCAAGAGGCAGCGAAATTTCTCCAGAGTTCACGATTGCTGCACTGTCCACACATACGTAGACATCCAAATCAAATTCCAAAATTCATTTTTTTAGTTCATCGTCACATAAGAAAACAAGAAGCCAGCCCGTTCGCTGGAAATTGAAAGCTAGTTAAAAAAATGCTACTGGCTGTTTTTAAGGCCGATAAAAAAGTATCGTCTTCACTCTCATTTTCTTCGGGATTGGCTCCCGAAGAATTTGTTTTGAAACCTGTGTGTCTAAGGCAATTGCCAATAGTTTTGGTGGAAATCTTGCTCCAACTTGCTTCCCTATATAGAAAATCTCACCAAGCACAATAACTGGAAAGGAGGATTTGTTGTCAAGGCTCAAGGGCAGTTATAAAATCCTTCATGTTTTAAAAAGTTTAATTTAAAATTATGAATAATTCCTCGGTCCATAATTTGCAATACATTAGTCACATTTGGTAGTAAGTAGACCATTTTTATGACCTTTAAACAGCTTACTCTACAGTTGTGAATAACTACGGTTTTTCCTATTTTTCTATAAAACTTTGTGCGTAAATTCATGACTGTCTTTTTCCATAGCTCTGAAGTCTTCCATCATCATTTGGAGTTTGCTTTCCCTAATGCAATTTACCCTTCTTGAAAGAAAAAGTCTTGTCGGGCGATATTCTGCGAACCAATCCGCATTCATCCACATTAAAAACGCCACTTGGATCATATTATTTGCATTCTTCTTTCATAACCATGTTTTTCAGTCCAGAACAACCACTGGATCAATGTCAGATGCTTCTTCTTTGAATTTTTTTTAACGATGTCATGCCTTATCTTCCTAGCCTTTCCAACCATCCATTATAACCTGTAAAGTTTTCTTCTCCGAATATGAAGCGCATTTTTCATTCAAAATTTAAGTGGAAATTGGAACATTTTGTATCCTGGAAAATTTTATTCTGGTCATTACAACTTTCTTGATTTCTTCATAGGAAAACACTCCTTTTCTTTCCATTTTTTAGTCCAAAGGGGCTCTGTCCCTGAAGGACTATTGTTTTCGTTTTGCGATTTTGCGTTGAATCACTATAAATGTCCGTTTCACTTTTCAAACTGTTGTCACCAAATGTTACAGTCCTGCATTATATTTGAAGGAATTAAATAATGAAAAATCTGCATAAATGTATGTATATTTTTAGCATTGTGATAAAACAACGGTACTTAGGGCCATCGAATTTTCAATGACGTAATCTTATTGCGAATATGGGCATGTGGGAGTCCAAATTTGGAATTTGCTTTATTATCGATTTCATATTTTGTAAAGCTTTAACGAACTCAAGGATTTCAAAGCGAGCAATGGCAACGTTGTACAGAAAAAACATTTTTATCTCCAACACGGGAGACTCTGCATCGGAAATTCTAGAGATATACTCAATTTAAAACTATTTTGCGATATTTCTCTTAATTATTCTCATAAAATTCAGTTCTCTTGAACTGAATTTTATGGTTTAAGTGCGAACAACGTGATATTTAATAAAGTTAACAGACAAATGTTAAAAAAACGCCGCTTTGGACGTAATTTAAAATCTGGAACCTTTCAGATTTTTTATTTTTTAATTAAATTAATTTATTTATTATTATTTTTTTTATAAAAATCTGAAAATTTTGCGATCTTCTGACATTCAGTTAAAAGGTATGAGTACTCACGTTTCAGCTCTCAAACTAAAAAAATCGGGAATCACTCAGGAAAACTGAGTTGAACACGGGTGCCAAAAACTACCCATCCGTCTATTTTCTCACAAATACCGAAGACACGGAATATACAGGTGTACATGGGACATAAGGCACGGGACATATAGGTGTCCAGTTATTGTTTGAATGAGTAGGAGAAAGTGGAGGGAATGACTGTAAGCTTCTTTATACTAAGGCTGAAATGACCTTAACCTCTAAACTGGAGAGGGGGGGGGAGAAAAACTTATATTTATTCTAGAAACTCACCACACTTCTAAGATGGCTGTTTATCAGATTTCTTTAATCTCTATTTTTCTATTCAACTGGTCGGGACTTTGCAAAACTGACAGTTTAAGAGAGGAGATGGTTGAACCGAATAACGGTTTAAAGTAGGTTAATTGTATTTAAAAAAACTTTTAATCCAGATAATTCTCTGCCAAGTATCTCTACGATTGCACATCAGTATCTGTGTTGTTATGCATGTTGATTTACATTGATTGTATATTGAGATTCATAGGATATTGATTTACAAAATAGCCCACTGTTTCTCCTCTCCGACAAAACAATGCAAATGAGGATAGCTTTACCTGATCGGAAAACCTCCTATCACTAGCACTGTGTTGCTAGTTAACAGCAGAATTCTACGATATCCTCAAATGCCTTGCATCTCAAATTCATCCGAGAAAACTACATTTCGAAACGCTCAGCCTTCCGATTTTGAGCCAGGCCAGACAACTTTGACGTGACGTTGTTTTTGTAGCGCTTGGGTATGCTAAATCCAAACAGCATAACTAGCCTCAAACAGCTTTCATGATGACAACAGTAGATGTTCTCTTGAAGCATTCCATCTTAGTTGATTAGTATGGCTCTTTCGATTATGTGGCTGACGGATCTATTAAATCCATAGCTTTGCCAACGACTTTGACTGCAGCCAGGTTCAAGTTCCTGTATTCACTACACAGTTTCAAAAGTTAAACAACGATGTGGATTTACTGAAGTGATCAGTTAAGGAATTTGACAAGTTTTGATGAACGATCAGTAAAACGTTGTTTAAAGGAAAAAAATGGAAATGGAAGAAGACTTGAGACCATAAAATTTGTCTTAAAGGTGGGTTACAACGCAATACTCTAAAAAATATTAACCTAATAAAAGACTATATGGTTCTCAGAGTTGAAGCGGAGCTGCATTCAAGATTTGTTGAATAAAATGGTCTAACGTTTTCTTAATGCGGGTTATTAAAATAAAATAATAATTTGATGTCTGGATATAGTAATTGACAGGGGGGATGAATTTTAATTAAGTACAGAATTAAAATTCATCTTGAAACCTATAAAATTAAGAATCTTGAATATTGAGTGACGGTAATATTTGAAGCAGAGTTTTATTAAATGTCTGGAATAATTTGTTAAACCAGCGATTATCAAAATAATAATCCGTTTTACTGGATTTACTGACCGAAAGGTAAGGAGAATAGCGGAAGAGTACGACTTCGTGTTTTTTGTTTTTGAGAAATAAAAATTCTAAATATTAGAAGGTGTTATTTACTGAAGGAAGTAAATTTAACATGTTTGGTTAAGAGAGCCAATTTTTAACATAGAGAAGACCAAAGAAAAAATTCAAAGACTGAATATAGTTCCGATAATTGAACGTAATTGAGGAGGAATTATGATACAAGGAACCTTATTAAAACCGCAGTCATAAATTTATTGATGAATAGCTGTTACTCGGTATGCGTTGCAATGCCACTTAAAGGAAAGAAAGTGTTTGTGTTCTTATTCTGTTTATTGATGTGTTATTATGTAACTTATTAAATAATGCTGTGATACATTTTAAAATTTCATCACAAATATAGCTATATATATATATATATATATCAAGCAAAGTAGTAATTATAATTTAAAAAAAAAACAATTTTGGTCTAGAAAAATCTTGCGAAATATGCTGCAAAATAAGTAAATATAAAAATTGTAGGTAAAACGCCTAAAAGTACCAAGAGCTGCTGCTCAAAAGGTCAACACGTTTTTAAAAAATTAATAATATGAAAATCAAACCAATTAGACATGTAAAACATTAAA